GTAACCTCGGTGACCCATAACCCGCGGCTCTCCTCCTACAGGCTTTCGTTCCCGCTCCTCCTTCAAGCTTCTCCAGCTCAATAGGAAGTTCCAGTTCCTGCAGAAGGCTCGGGCACTGCTGGACCTGTGTGCGGCCCCTGGCGGGTGGTGAGTGGTGTCAGGGCCCCGGGTCACAGCCCAGTGCCACCAGCTGTCCCGGGACATTGTGTCGAAGTGGCTCGTGTATTTTCTGTTGTTGTGTTTCTGCCCTCGATGCCAAAGCTGATCCCAGATCCCTAGCAGTTCAAGGCTGTGGGCTCTCCTAGGATCCTGCTGTAGCTTCCTTCCTTTCTGTTCTCTCCAGGCTGCAGGTGGCTTCCAAATTCATGCCGGTTTCCAGTTTGATCATTGGTGAGTGATGGGACCTGGCAGGAGCGGGCTGGGGGCTGGGACCTCCACCACAGTCCCTGGATGGGGCCAAAGAAAGGGGATCCTGGATTGAGGATCCTGGATTGGGGATCCTGGTGGGAGGAGAGGGTGGGTGGGGAAGGCACATGGGATGGGCTGGAGCCCAGTTTTGAGGCGTTTGTGTCTCTTCCTTATCTCAGGGGTAGATTTGGTTCCCATCAAGCCTATTCCTAACGTGGTGACGCTGCAGGAGGACATCACCACTGAGAAGTGCCGCCAGGTACAAACCTTTCTCCTCTTCCTCGGGCATCACGTGCCAGTCTGGGTCCCAGCAGGTCGGTCTGCGATGGGAGTGGGTGTCACCTGCTCAGCTGGGGGTTGCCCGGGGGTGGGGTGGAGGCAGGGGGCTGAGCTGAGCTGACGGGGCTGGTTCCTGCCGAGGGCTTGGTGAGACCAACGGGTGTCCCCGTCCCTCAGGCCCTGCGCAAGGAGCTGCAGACGTGGAAGGTGGACGTGGTGCTGAACGATGGAGCACCCAACGTGGGGGCCAGCTGGGTGCACGACGCCTATTCCCAAGGTGGGGCCCGGGCCCGGGGCTGCCGTGTGGCCTGGCAGGGTCTGGGGGGAGGGTACGAGGGCAGGCACGGCCCGGACCCCCACAGGGCAGGGCGGCAGCACTGTGGGGCAGGGAGCTGGGCAGTGGGGGTGGTGACCAGTGCTGACTGCTCTTCTCCCCTGCTCCAGCCAACCTGACTCTCATGGCCCTGAAACTGGCCTGCGAATTCCTCTGCAAAGGCGGCTGGTTCATCACCAAGGTGTTTCGTTCCCGGGACTACCAGCCGCTCCTCTGGATCTTCCAGCAGTTCTTCCAAAAGGTCCAGGCCACCAAGCCCCAAGCCTCCCGCAATGAGTCCGCTGAGATCTTTGTGGTGTGCCAGGGTGAGCTGCTGGGGGGACCTGCAGCCGCTGGAACGGGGCTGGGAAAAACCCGCTGGAACGGGGCTGGGAAAAACCCACTGACCGCTCTGGTTCCTCCCTCCCAGGTTATCAAGCTCCAGACAAAATCGACAGCAAGTTTTTTGACCCAAAATACGCTTTCAAGGAGGTGGAGGTTCAGACTAAGTCTGTTAGTGAGCTGGTCAGCAAAAAGAAGCCAAAGGTATGAGTACGGCCAAACACACACAAATGAAACTGGGGATTGGAGCCAAAAAGATTGTAATAAGCAGATTTGTTTAGGAAAAGGGTAGGTCTGGGGGTGCGAAGTGGTGGAAGAGTCTGTTTTGGGGAGGTTTTACAGCCTTAGAAGGTGGTGCAGTGACAGGGAAACAGCGATACAAGTTGTGAGGCTAGGGATGGATCGGTCAAACCTTCCCTACCACGGTTGTCTGTTGGGTTTGCGTCTCTGTGAGGTGTCCTTAGGACACAGAACACTAATGGCCATGTCAGGTGGCGTCAGCTGCGCAGGGAGCTGACACAAACTTCTGTCATTGTCACCTCTCTGTGTCTGCGGGGGGAGCTGGCAGGTTGGGGCTGGTAACTTGCCTTCATCCCTAGGTTGTGTGGGCGCCCGTAGGTGAAAGCTGCAGCCAAACATGAGTTACGTGACAGTCGTCCTTTGGGGGTGGTTGAAGCTGCTTGTCTGTGCCCTGCCTGAGCTCACAGC